AATCACTGCGTGGGAGGCCCACTCAACTCACGTCATACTGTAAAAAAAAATGTTATTTATACCTATGTTATTTATATTGTACTGCTACTTGTTGTTACACCATCAACAAAAAAATGAATGTAAACGAGATGGGCGGTGAAGGTCTCCTAGTTGTCAAGCGAAGATAGGTAAATGCCCGTAAAGTGGAAGTTGAGGAACAGATTCTCTACCATGAGCAAAAGATCATGGGGAGCCTAAATTCAAGAAGTTTATAAAGTGCAATCAGATGGGTGAAGCTAAGATGACCTTTTTAGTCTGATTGAAAAAAATATATTAACTTTAGTCGACTTTACCTTTACATTGGCCAATCCATGTTCATGGCGCATTCCTGTCAGGCTATCCAGGAACTTCCTGGAATTTTTGACAGTTTTCTATGTATTATGCAAACTAATTCTTTTGTTGTACTGATGGTGCTAATGCTGTAATCGCAGTCAACGAGAGGGAGAAAACTTTAGTCTGCTCTACTTTTACATTGGCCAATCCCATGTTCATGGCGCATTCCTGTCAGACTATCCAAGACCTTCCCGGAGTTCTGACAGTTTTCTATGTATTATGCAAACTAATTCTTTTGTTGTACTGATGGTGCTAATGCTGTAATCGCAGTCAACGAGAGGGTTTGCTTCTTCTGCACCCCTCATTGAGATGGTGTAATACCCCTCAAAGTGTTCAGCCCTCCACTTTTTTCGATTGCCTCCCTACGCCAGCTGTCCCCAGGCCTGTGTATTGTTTCATTTGTGCATTTTCACACATTACACATACATACTAATTAATCATAATGAGTAAAGTGATTTATGTGGCTCTCATCCACATCGGTGGATTACGGTACTTTTCTGTACGAAACCTATCCGCTAACAAATCAAAGTTTTTTCAATCTCAATAATCTCAACAGCTGTTCTGAACCAATCTCGCTTACTGCATTACCGCAGTTACTGCGGACAATGGCAGCCATTAAGAGTCGCTCGAAACTCTTTCCACATTCTCTTTTCCTTCTTTTTTTTTATTCTTTCTCATCGCTTCATCTTGATTTTGAGTTTTTCCGGTCTAAGAGGCCAAATGTTACCTTTGTCCAACTAAGCTATAATCACCTCATCGTTACCTTTGACAGGGCTTTATGTAGCAAACATGATGGTAGGAGAACCCGCCTGGAAGGCAGCCTCAGGAGTCTCAGGAGCCATTTGGGATTTCATCATTTGAAAGTTAAATAAGACTAAAGTTAAACTGAATGGGTCTTGTAGTGAAGTCATCTTGTGGGGAGAATGGACTTTTCGTCTTTGTCGATGACTTTATGACTCATGACTCAGCTGTGACTCAGATCGCCTAACCCAAAATAAAGCCTCCTGGGAATAAAAGGCATTCATAGTGTCACTGGGAACGAATGGGAAAATAGCGACGGTTGGTAGATAGTTCCTTTTAGCACCTCAGCATAATCTCCGAGCTGAAGCTAATCCGTGCGGCCTTGACGAGAGCTCCGAGTTAGATCCATGTAACTCTTTGCATTTGTTCACTGGGTTGGTGGTGTAGTGTCAAGTGGCGTGCTATCATAAGCATGGTCCGAGATCAAATCCCACATTAATACCGCTTGGACGAAAAAGCCCTCCATCTCTCGGATACCAGTGAATTGGTACCAGCCCCGTCTAAAAGGATGAAAGCGCTGATTCGTACATAAGCACTACAACTCATTGAATAGGCTACATACCCTGAAGAGGACCTCGTTTCACAATTTCACATTTTAGGAACGTGCGGGGCTTTTATTCTGAAATAAATTGAATATTGTCCGAAAAAACTCGTTCGAAGTTGATCAACAGATCTGTACAGTACATAGGCTCTTACCACGAAAAAGGCCGGGGACCTAACGATTCCATTACGCCCCTACAATTCTAAATGGAATNCGAATGCGGAGGTAGGAGCATCTTGAAGTCGGGATTGATCAGCTATGAAAGATTTCACCCATGTGTTTTGATGTAAAGTAAGAGCAAATGGATTCTGATCACAAGACCTCTTGACATCCTATTTCATGTTTATGCGATCGAGTACATTTCTTAACTCATTCAGCCTACTCCTCATTTCACCTAAACGAGTGTGACTTTTTCTCTAATAAGCTTGATATAGGCCAAATAGCCAGCTGTAGTCAACGTGGACACATTCCACTCTCAGACCACCAATCAAAATCTTTTTCATATCAATCTCCGATGAGTATTCTTCCGATTTCTTTCGATTGATGCTTCACCGATGAATATTCGTTGAGTGTAATCTATACAAAATTGTAATAAATGTCATATATCGGAGGTTTTATTCATGGAAAAATCTCTCGATTCTCGTCTAATCCCATGGTGTAATAGTGCACCATCTGGCAGCATGGTCCCTTATAAATGTTGCCGCTTTTCGTCATTTGAGCATGTGCTCCTCTCATCTTCTTATCTCCTTTGTCGAATCGTCGAATTTGATTATTTCATCCGGTCTCTTGAAAATGGTTGGAGCTCAAAGCATTCCTATATTAGGAATTGAACTGGATCAGATTTAAAATTCATGGTTGGAATTCCCCTAAATTTTGATTTAGCTATGCCCTCCTGGGCCTTTTTTCTTGGATGAGTTCCCGATCACCAAATCAAAAGTCGCGTTTGGGTGAAGAAGATAGATGATAATATAGATATAGGATACGATATGATCCTGACGAAAAACTCCATACAAAGTCAAATACTTTGTATCTTACCCTCTCATAAATCGCCTTACTCAGTGGATGTAAGCTAGTGTACCTTTTGACATTTTTTTTGACATCATCCAATTTATTCTAGAAAAAATATGGCTCACAGGTCCCTAAAATGTTATATGAGCTGTGAGACTACCGCTGGTGCATCCAGTTTTTCGGGGTCGATCACGTCTCTGATCGATGGACCCTGAAGGGGACACGAGGAATTACTGGAATTAAACTTCTTTTATAGTAATTTGCCTGGTGGGTGGGGTTTTGACATGTTGGGTGGGGCTTTAAATGACATTATGGATTTACAACTTTTTCTACTGCATAATTTGCTCGAATTCATTTTTAATTCTGGAATTTTTGAAAGGATTCCAGGGTAGCTCCTACATCAATATACTCCAATCGTAGTTTCGTTTACACAAAACGTTTTTTTCTGATCTCCTTGTTTTTGGTCGTTCGTTTAAAGTTGTCAATCAAAAATATTCTTAAAGTAGTATCAAAAGCAACATAAATCAACAGCTCATCATCCGTGCAATTCTGCTAGGCAAGCTTGAGCCCTCTTTCTAGCCCCCCCCCCCCTTTGAATGAGTTAATCACTGGATCAACTTCAGCATTAGTGAAGATGATCGAGTGAAGCCTACCTGTGTTGGATGTTCCACCAGGGCAAGCATCAATACAGAACGTTTTCGAAAATCGAAAATCTAATAAGCAGGATTATATCAACAGTGGGTTACCAGGGTACAGAAGTAATTTCAGATTTGAATTTTTCGGGCTGTTTTGGCGGAGGGGCGGGACTATGCATGGGCGGCGTTCGTGAGACCTACTACCTAGTTTATAAAACTCAAATTTAAACCTACTGGAAAAGCTCACGCTCATTCCGATGCATCCTCACGGGTGCCTTCTGGTTGGACGTTGTACAAGTCAAACATCCTTTCAAATGCGGTCACAATTCCAAATAGAAACCGTGTGGGTGGTGCATCCTAGCAATATGATTAGTCGCTCTTGTTCTTGGTCCTTGGAGTTGGGAAGTTGTTAATCCTGACAAATCCTGCAGTCAAGCGTTTCTTCTCGATCACTTCTTCACCTCTGTTCTTCCAATCAATGATCATTGGAAGCCTAAGGGCAGAATTTTTCTGAGCTGCCATGGCTATTATTGATGAAGACATTGTGATTGATGCATTCTGAAGGAAAACTCATAAGTAAGGACACCAAATGTTCGAGTTCCTCATCAAGGACCAGATTTCACGGATTTTTTGGCATATTTATGGGGATTCAGAGCATGATCAGAGTAAGCACTGGGCTGGAGCTACTACTCATCTTGTTGCTATCAGATAGACACCTTAAGGACCGATTGGGGTGAACGTGATGTAGAACATCTCAGAACAGACCCTCAGGTAGGTGGAATGACCCTTTTAAAAAGCTATTTGGATAGAGTGGTGGAGGTGGTGTAGTGGCAAGCGACGCACTCTATCGCACGCACGGTCGCAGGTTCGAGTCTCCGATCGATATCCGCCTAGGCCAACCAAGCCTTCCATACCTCCAGGGACGGTGAATTGGTACCAGACTCGTTTGGGAGGATAAAAGCCTTGGCTTGTACATCGGCTGGCCACCGCAACTTATTGTATAGGCCATATACGCATTCAATCCACCACCACGATTCTGGATGGAAGTCGAATGCGGGGGCGCATCTTCATCGGGCTTGATTAACGCTTAAAGACGTTATCTTCCATTTGGGCAGAGATGGCGACAGTTCGCAAGAAATTCGAAGGAATAGCATAAGTGTGCCCTGCATGGACGGCATAACTGCTATTCTTGCGTAGCGGAACTTTTATCATCCAGATAATCCTGGACTCTATTCCCTGAGGGGATGGAAGGTAAGGTCGGCGTAAGCGGGTAACAAACCGGGATTCGATCTCTGGGTCATGAAAATGATAGTGCACGCTATTTTTCACTACATCACCTCCACTCCTCGTATCTTGGTATCTATCTGAGGAGTGGAGGCGATGTAGTGACCGTACAATTGTGAGAAAAACCCAGATCTGTGCGCCTGATACATATGCGTGTGTTCGTCTTATGACAGCTCACACTGCAATATTACGGTAGATAACAATTTCCCATAAAGTTTCCAAAACAAAATGGCAGCACGTACAGGACCAGAGATCAAAAGGGCTGCCCACGGAATTATTACTGCAGTATTCATTCTGTTCAGCGTCTTTAACACAACTGACACATAACTGAATGCAAATCACCGAATGAAGAAGTATTCATGAGCACCATTCATCATAGTCTCTCCAGTTTACAGAGGTATCATAAAGCTCTTTGGCATGGCATTCCACCTAGCTCGTCGGTAAAGTCAGGTATAGCCGTGCGGTAAGCAGCCCTGTCGAAGCGTCCCACAATCTTAAATTCCTACCTGAGGGCTACTCAGGCCTCTGAAGAAGTGGGGAGGAGACCCAACGGGAGATATGCATATTCCTTCGATTTCTTGTAATCTAACGAATCATTTTATTTCTTCACTTTTATGCGACAGAGCCGTTTAAGTAGGACCTCTNATCACTTGTAGTTTGCCTCTTCTGTATGGATCACTTAAGTTGCCTCTCTATCACCCACCACCTTTGAAGATTGTTTGCCACTGGAAATTGCAGAAATCTCTGATTATGCGGCCTAAACGATGATCTGTGCAGACCTGTCGATGTACAAGTCAGTGCTTTCCCCTCTCATTCGTGTCTGGTACCAATTAATCAACCCAGGAGAAATGAAAGGCTTGGTTGGCCTGGGCGGGTATCAATTCCGGACGATCCTCGTACCAACCTTATGGTTGCCACCACATCTCCTCCGACCCTTCTTACTAAAATTCTACAAGAAAATCTATTATAGTCATAAATTTTGGCCAGGACTCGAACCTACGGCATCCACATTTACTATACTGCTATACTATCTAGTTCCATACTTTTACTCACAGAAATGATCTCACTAAGTTTCTTATATCGTTGCAATCACCATTACTTTTAATGTTCATTATATATTACCAGAGCGGAATAACATTTAATAATTTACTCCTTTAACTCTCGTCTGGAACAGAGCTGACTGAAGGTCTAATAGAGCAGAAGTTTGCGATGAAAGGATACAGTCTTGGAGCGTTAATCAATCCCGTCTGAGGGATTCGCCCACACTTCGACTTTGTGGGNCATAAATTTTGGCCAGGACTCGAAACTACGGAATCCAGCTTTACTATACTGCTATACTATCTAGTTCCATACTTTTACTCACAGAAATGATCTTGCTAAGTTTCTTATATCGTTGCAATCACCATTATTTTTAATGTTCATTATATATTACCAGAGCGGAATAACATTTAATAATTTACTCCTTGAACTCTCATCTGGAACAGAGCTGACTGAAGGTCTAATAGAGCAGAAGATTGCGATGAAAGGATACAGTCTTGGAGCGTTAATCAATCCCGTCGGAGGGATTCGCCCACACTTCGACTTTGTGGGACGGGTTTAGAAAATAAAATGTTCCAAATTGATCAACCCGTTCTGTATGAGCCACGTCCTCTCCTTTTATTCGAAAATTCAGGGTCGCAGAAGCATAGGTAATGGGTAAATGGTGCATTCAGTGAGTTCAGGTGGTAGTACGTTTACGTTAATTCCCACGACAAGGGGCTTAGGGTTCGCGCGGATTACGGTGTACTTCCATAAAAAATTCTAATCTCTCCTTCCCCAGTGGGTGACTACACGCAGCCGGGTGCGGCAGGCGTTATTCAGGTGATAGATATCGATTCAGATGTAGGATGTGAAAGTAAGGTTCGAACGAGTAGGCTTAGCTTTCTCATTCTTCCTTCTCTCTCGATTTTCCTCGCTCTTCAGCTCTTAGATGATGATGATGGTTTTTAGATGCTCTTATTAGGGCTCATTCTTGCGGTAGCCGAAGCTCAAGAGCTGTTGAGCAATCCACAATGTAATCAACCATTTGATCAAGGAACATGTATGCAGTTTTCCGTAAAATGGTAAGCAATGTGTGTATTTTTCGAAGGAAATAGAACTAAAATATAAGTTCAAATAAACAATGATATGAGATGCTCACATCACAGGAGGAAGCTCCTTAATATTCATTTAGGATCTGAGTAAAGGTTTCGAGGTCGAATTTGCCTTCTGAAAGTATGGCTGGAAGGGTCCGAGTTTAAAGATTCTCTCTTGCAGTATTCCAGGATTGCAAGTGACCCATAAATCTAGCATAAAGAATATCAAAATTGAATATGCCTCCAATCAGTTATTGCCCTTTGAACTACTATTGCTCATTATGAAGATTCTCGTTTGTCTCCCTGGAATCACACAAAATCCCGACACGTACTGCGCCATCTGTAGCATTAACTTTCGAGTCCCAGTATACTGTCACACCATTTTTGTCAAAGCGGGGCAAAAAGTGACTTCATGGTATTCCACACATAAAAGGCTGCGTGGGGGACTCCTGACACGCTCCCAGGGATTCATGATTAGTTGTCTCGCAACGCGGCATTGCTTTGATAGATGACTCAGTTCTGTACCCAGGATTGAGACATCTATCAAGACAATGCCGCGTTGCGAGACATTGCTGTGGCTGTTGTAATGTACTGCTAGGGATATCGACGTTCATGTTAAAGGCTCATTTCAGATGTAAGCAGAATTTCTTAGAAAAGCTTCTATCCTTCCAGGTATTATGATCGATATGCTCACCGATGTAGGGAATTCTATTATGGAGGTTGTGAAGGAAATGATAATCGGTTTAATTCACTTCAAGGTAAAATATTTAGCTGAAGTAGCCATTTTCACTAATTTGACTGTTTGCTACTATTTTTCTGCTCGTAGTAAGAAATACTTCATAGTTCAATGTTTAAGAGTGCAACGCTGCATGTACCTATCATGCACCGACAAATCGAGATCGCTGCTTTCAACCGCATGATCCCGGCCAATGCAATGGTGATTTTGAACGATGGTACTTCGATATGAATAAAAAGCAATGTGTTTGTAGGTCAGTATTAGAAATTTTCTATCAAAATGACTCAAATAAAGCTGAATCGGCAGTATGCGGGTCCTGACTGAATCGTAAGCTTGGATGGCTTCGGAGGTGTTTATGGGACCTAACTTCACCAGTTCATTGGAGTAGCTTCAAAAATGGGGCAGTTATCGTTACGCCGAGCACCTTTCTCCGGGCATCCAATTTCGATCCGAGCCGGAGCTGCACATTCAGGCATCAATCTAGAATATGTGACACAGGTAGGGATGAAAAATGGTCCGGTTCTATCGGCAAGAATCATTGGTCCCTGAGAAGGCCACATAGGAGAACGAGCAGCCTTACGAAGGCTTGAGAATTTATCCAACGCCTTTTGCGACGAAGGGGTTTGGGGGGGGGGGGGNCTGCTGCTGTAGGTTTCAAAATGAAGCACCTTTGCTGGAAACAGAGCCAGCTGATACCTTCTGACGGCTAGCTTATATGGCTTTGAAGTGACCGAATTCTCGTCCAAATACTCCTTTCTTCGTCATAAGCTCACCCAACTTCTGGAACTGTTCTTGAACGAAATTGCTTAGCCTCACAAAAAATTTGTTCTTTCGAATACGAATAGCATGTGAATAGATTCTGCTTTCAGCTGGTGGTCAGGTTGTGGAGGTAACTCGAATCTGTTCTACTCCTACAAGCACTGTATGCTTATTTGTGGAGAGTTTGCTACCGGTGGCCCAGGTATCGATGAGAAATACTACAATGTAAGGCGTTATTCAACTTTCTGCCTAAGGTTATATATTATAAAACATGGTATCATATAATTACCACGGTTTCACGGTTTTTAGAGAAGTTACTTGATCCGGACTTCTGGAACTCCTGGGATAAGAACTCATTCTGAAACTACCATATTATATTCGTGGAGCACAGGGCAACCTGGTCAACCACCTCAGCAAATTACATATCGCCCAGGAGAATGGTATCAGTCCGTACAACAGCTCCCGAGCGGGCCCGGGCAAGTGACTCAGTATGTTGTGCAGCGGCCTGATGGAAGGTACCCGTCGGGCCAAACGTACTCAAGTGGGAATGGGCAAGTGACTCAACAAGTTGTACAGCGGCCTGATGGAAGGTACCCGTCAAGCCAAACGTATCCAAGTGGGCCCGGACAAGTGACTCAACAAGTTGTACAGCGGCCTGATGGAGGGTACCCGTCGGGCCAAACGTATCCGAGTGGGCCTGGGCAAGTAACGCAACAGACTGTTTACCGGCCTGGTGAACAGATAACCTATACCCATACCGGCTATCAGAGGCCACAGCCGGATCATAGACAACAAGTGCAGTTCGTCTACGGACCAGGGCCACAAGACCAGCAGCAACAACAACAACATCAACAGGTATGGTTGTTGGCGATCGAAGATTTTTTCGAAGCTCATAATCACTGGGGAAACAAAGTCGAATATGCTCAAGAAAGCGTACATGCTCAAAGAGGCAAAGCTTGAATGTTTGAGGTCGATCGAATAAATTCTGGCGTGCCCAGAACTCAAGCTTCCGCTTCAGTGTGGACATCAATGGGCAATTAGCTTTAATTTGAAATTTGAGTACCAGGTACTTCAAAATCAAACCTCTATGGTCAAGAATGACTAAAACTGGAGCGGCGGAAGACCATATTCCATCACTTGATGGACTTCAACGATGGAACCTCCAATAACGGTCAATGTGTGACTGTTCAAATACTAGAGGAATAGCTCATAGAAGACGACGCTCCTGTGAACGACAGCCGTCAGAATATGAGGAGCTTTAATAAAAAGGTTGAATAAGTCATAAATGGGCTGCTTCTCACGGCGCATTCGTAGGATCTCGAAGTGGAGGAGCCAAAATTTCAGAACTTTGAACTCCTTTTGTAGAGCTCCTTCACTGCTAGGAGGTTCATTGATTGGTTATTCTAACGTAAATTTAAAGTAGCAATTATAAATGGTCTTCGCCGTTTCCGAAGACCTTATGGGAACGGAAGCAAACATATGTTTGCCTCGAAATCAAAGCCTACTTGGAAATTGAATTTTGGGAAAGTTCCAAGACTTTTCATTTGAAGGCGTAGGCAGGTGAGTTTGTTGTACTTGCACAATGCTGTAGTGCTGCAAATGCTTCATCTAACAAGAGGCTGCGCTGAAAAATTTGCTTCATCTGTACTCTTTACAAACTGCTATACTAATTTCAGAGTGATCTATTGCTATATATTCCTATATGAGGAATTTTCAGGAGGAATCCGTACGCGTTGAAGAGCAAAGAAGACAGGAAGAAATGAGCAGCTTAGAAGGGATCAGGAAGAGCAACGTAGGCGGGCACAGTCCTCCACTTGGCAAACAACAGGACGTGGACCTCCCGGTATACCACCTGCATCCTCCACTCAGGTCAGTACAACACGCTTTGCCAATACTTAGGCCACTTTATTTTTCTTTATTCAAAATGAATTACTTGTATTGGGGGATATTCAGCTTTACTTAGAGGGTGGGGATGCAGGGGGGAAGAAGGAAATGTGCGTGAACTTTGAACTCACATCCCCTTCCCGGGGTGCGCTTCTTGCGCGCGTCCGTCCAAAGTAGGTCATGCCGCAGCCG